AATAATGCAAAATGTTCACAATAGCAAATAAAATAATGGAATCGTATCCACATTAAGAGAGCGCGAAAAGTTACCAGCCAGCTAGACGGCGTGAAACCGAGTCGAAGGGATTACACGGTGCGAATGAGAAAATTTAACAAGTATCTACTCACTAAAGGCTAGATACAGTAACCTTTGTCATAATATTAGCTGGTATTATTCGCACTTTAATTTTTTTTTAAAGGAAATATTTTCTTTTACACTACCAATGTATTGCTTGTATTCCACATAAAAATTTGTATATATACGCAAAGTAAGTTTGGAATTAAAAGTACTCTTTGCTGTTCATTTAAAGTAAAATAAATAATCCAACAAAGCCCAGCCTCCAAACTTTTAGCTTGACTAACATGAAAAATTAATTCATCAAGGGGGAACAAGAAGAAAATGTTAGTCAAATTAAAAATGAACCTCGAACGTAATCTTCTTTCGTCCCCTTAAATTCACTTTCTCTACCCGTCTTTATTACCGCACCGTTTTGTTCAAGATTTCAGATTCCCCCTGTTGTCTCGCGACGCGTGTCCCCCTCAACAACCTTCTTGCATTCTCCCAACCGTTCGACAATGTCATAACTACCATTAACGTCATTCTTATCCCCAACTTTATTTCCAGTCATTAAAATTCATTTTCTCACATAATAACTGCCAATTCCTTACGTTGTACCTTCGACACTTGCCGTGACTTTTACGGTCTGCAATTGTCCTTTTTCTCGGAACAGTAAAAGATAAAAGTTCAAGTAGGACAGAATGAGTTTTAGTGTTGTGGCGTTTACTCAACTTTTAAGTTGTTGGACATAGCATTTCTCTTGCTTAGTTTTAGGACGACGGAGTTTACGAGAATAACGAAGTTTAAAGTTTTTGCTGATGTTTATATTTTTGTTTTGTTTTTGTTTGTAATTAACCTGGCCCTGTCTATCTGTTTAGCATCTTTTACTCTCGTATATTATTATCTACTAGATTTATTTCTTCGCCAGCTGGTCTCTACCCACCGTTACCTGTAGCAACGCCCTGTATCAAGGCGATATCGCCTAGTGAAGGTTGGACTTCTGGTGGTTCTACTGTCATCATTGTAGGGGATAATTTCTTCGATGGATTACAAGTCGTCTTTGGAACTATGTTGGTTTGGAGTGAGGTAAGAATTCTTATCTATAAAACCAAATCTACTCAATTGAATACATATAGGAGTCTATTTTCTCTTTAAAATATTTTACACTAATGCTGCTATAAGGTCAACATCATTTGTTTATATATTATATTTATTTCATAATTAGAATCTTAGACAATTGTAGCAATTTATATTTATGTCTGACCAACAGTTAATAACATCCCACGCCATCAGAGTTCAAACGCCTCCAAGACATATACCAGGTGTCGTAGAAGTCACACTATCCTATAAGAGCAAGCAGTTTTGTAAAGGCGCGCCGGGAAGATTCGTCTATGTTTGTGAGTATTGCTAATCTATACAACTTGTACGTAAATTATATATTTTATTTATGAGTCGTCTTTAAATCTAACTTTAATCATCAAAGTTTTTACTTCTTACGTTAAGTCGTCTGTAATATTACAATCTCACGATGTGTATTCACTTGTAATATAGATGTTTTGCCATAGCACTTTGTTCGAAAGAAGTTCTGTTTAAGATAAATCTTCAATCTCATAGATTCCTTTCCTCGAAAAGATAATTAATTCGAGGGTTCGTACGCAATGTAGCTCGATCAATCAATTAGGTTTCGATTTGGGCAACTAATGATTGATATTGTTTTTCTTGTTTCGCATAGCAGCTCTTAACGAGCCGACAATAGATTACGGCTTTCAACGGTTGCAAAAACTTATACCAAGACATCCTGGTGATCCGGAAAAGTTACCTAAGGTGAGATAATTAAGGTTTATTTTTCTTTACGAGGGCATTTATTTATTTTGTAACAAATTGACTAATACTAGTAAAAATAATATATTTCGTTGTCTGTGGTTATATTTCAAGGGAATCGTTATCAACTTGTTCATTACCTTTCTGCGGATATAACTACTTTTGTTCTATTTGCAATATTTACCTCTGTACTCATTAATACCTCCTTTCCAAATTAGGAAATCATTCTCAAAAGGGCAGCAGACTTGGCAGAAGCACTGTACTCTATGCCGCGCAACAATCAGTTGGGTTTGGGAGCGCCACGGTCTCCACCAACCAGTATGCCGTTCAACTCTTACACCGGCCAACTTGCCGTCAGTGTACAGGATACTGCGGCTTCGCAGTGGACTGAAGGTGGGTTCAATACATTTACATTACATAGAACATATATTGAATTACCTACTAAAGAAATAATAGCCACTTTGTCGGTTTACAACAAATTACTGCAAAAGACTGCAAGAAATGTTATCTTGACAGCCTTTTCTATTGTCTATGATAATGTGTGAATAGACATGATAACAGACTTACAAATATAATTAACAAGTCTGTAATCATGTCGAAAAAAAGTTATTTCAAGGTCAATATAATGTTACGTTCTTTTCTACACGGGATATTCCAAAAAGTCCTAACTTAATGTTTCGTGTTGACCCCAGGCTTTTTCTTTTAGAGGAGTACGCGCGTAGTGGCGGGTCGGTGTCGCCGCGTTACTGCTCGGCTGCATCTACACCCCACGCCGCACCTGCCTCTTACCCACATCCTCAGCATTATCCTGCACCACCTACTTCGCTCTTCAATACCACTTCACGTAAGTTTCTAGAAACTTTGAAAGTTATTAGTTTAAGTTTTATTTCATTAGATTTAAGATTATTTTCGTTGTTGTTGTGAAGTATGTTTTCATCAACAGCATCATAGAATATTTTACCTGAGCCAATACACAACCAAGATCTAAATACACACTTGCAACGCTTTCTGCACTGTATGCTTCACGCTTTTGTGTTAACCCCTGTTTTTGTTCGCGCAGTGTCTCTAGGCCCGTACCACCCGGCGAACGTGAATGGACACTTATCTGACCACTATACGAGTAATGTGTATAACGCGAAAGATAGCGGACATTATGAAAGAAATTCTAAAACCGCCGACTGTCCTGTAAACACTCATTCGAAATGCCAGATGAAAGAGGATAAAGAGGGCAAGTCGAGAAGCGCGTTTGCTGTCGTCAGACACAGTCCGCCGCGAGTGGCTCAGCACCACAATTGGCACCTAGCAGTCCAGTGTTAGTAGCTTTTTCGTTTCTCACTTGTTTGTGTCAAACTTGTTTTGTTTTTTGCTTATTTTGCTACCCAATGTTCACCTTTTTTGTCCATTTACTTGGACAAATTTGGTAATCATTCCACTGAAAATGCTGTCTGATTTATACATTATTCAAATTTTCGCACATTCCTTCACACAAACCGTTCAATTCCGAAGTGAGTAAAATTTTCTCGCATTTAGGTTCCAATACTTAATTTCCTAACTATTGCTTTGTTCACAGGAATGGGCAGTCTGGTTTCATCTCCATTCAGTGTCAACCCGTTCTCACTACCAACATGTAGCGCGCAACAATACGCACAAACTGCACCTTTGGCTTCCAAGTAACTTACTAAAAATTAATTTTTGTTCTTTTAACAGTACCTTGATGACGCCGAAGCCAAATAATATCATAATTAAGTTTGTTTAATTCAATACTATAAAACGTTCTCTATTGGGTGGAGGTCTAATCGTGAATATAATTAATTGTAACGGTTTTGTAAATAATAGAATAAATATTTCATAGTTCAGTTGCTAGATTGATATAGTGATAGGTTTTATATACAGATGCCTATAATTCTTTTGATGTAAAATAGTACTTCGATTATCGAAGTGAGTTTTAAAAAAATGCTCAAAATTGGGCGCGCTGCACCAATCGAATTCTTCTTCGCATTATTTTAATTATTCGTATGTATGTTTCTTGTTTTGTACAATCTGTGATATATTTATTGTAAGTATCATTGTAAATTAAAAAATAATCCATAATGTGTACATTTTTCAATTATCGATTTCGATTAATGTAAATCGTGTCTTAAGATTATTTTATAAAGACATCGAATTGTAAATTTTGAAATTTCTGAATATCGATCATATCTTGAAACAAAACATATCCAATTACAAATGGAATTTCTGGAATAATATATAGCAATTATCTTATATCGAATTGTAAGTACTTACGGCAAAAAGAATAAGCTAATATGTACCACAACTTAGAACAAAAGGAACAAGCTTATAGTATACAATGCGACTTTTTTGCTGTATGTATTAAAAGAATCTTCCGTTGAAATAAAAAAGGATGTAGGTATACGAAAAATAATAATAAATTCTGCCTCGAACACTTGGATATCCCCGGATATCAAAGCGTTTTCTTTAAAAATTACCTTCCTGAATATGAAATGTGTAGTTACGTATATTGTTTAACGCAATTGTGTATCGAATAAGACTTGTACATTATAATCGTTCATGGACAAAACTATCACGAAATACAAGATTAAATAATATTATAAAATACGACGGAGTTTTATTATGAATCTATATTTTTTTATTGATAATTGACCAAATAACTTGTGCCGTTGTGTCACATGATTATTCCTTAAAGTTAGTTTATGTAAGGGTTAAGCAATAACCACCATTCCATTTTTTTATCAGTTTAAGTTGGCTAATATTTCATAATGTTTGTAAAAATATATGTATATAAAATGTGGTTTTGCATATAATAAATACCATAATAAAAATCAATATATGAATCATCATTACAGAAATATACTAAGTTCTTATAATACAGTTACGTTGACAGTTATTTTACCTAATCAATATAAACAACGTTTACAGACAAAAAATGCGGGAAAAAAATGAGATGTCATATAAAGTTGTGTCAAGTACCTACTAGACAGAACTTTACATGACATAAATATTTAGTACGGAATAGCGGATATTTCATCTCGATTTCTTTTTTTAAAACACTAAGAGACGGGACAAACATGTCATGCGCCTAGTGGTGAGCGAAGCGCCTGTCCATAACAGCTGAGCTCTGAGCTTTAAATCATTGCCGATGCCCCTGTCACCTTGAGACATAAGTTGATAAGTCCCATGTACCTGTAATTTCAACAGCACTTAGATCTTTGAAAACCAAAGCGCAGTAATCCTCACATTACTGCTTGGCGACAGAAAAAGGTAATGTGGCAGTACTTCCTTGGACAAACTCTTTCACAAGGCGCTCTACTGCTAATATATTTGAGTGGGACCACTGTAGTATAACTTATGTTGTCCTTACCTAACGACCCGAGAGATAGGGCTCTCCGGAGAGACTACGGGCTCGACGACAAGACCAAGGTACAGTGGGCGTCCGAGCCAAGCCCTCCGCCAGTGATATGCCTTTGGACTGGCTAGGGTTTGTGGTTAGCTGCAGAGACAGACATGTTTAAGTTGGAAGCTATATCCGGACATTGTCGCAGGACCCTGTGACTGGCATCTCCGTCACTAGCCCGGAGAGCTAGTAGAGGATAAGCTAGATATCCTCCGGTCCCTCCAGCTGCTTAGGTTATTGGAAACTGGAGAGACGTCGTTTTTCGGCGTCGGGAAGTGAGCGTGTCTTACAGCTCCGCCACCAATGAGGATATTTGGTAGTGGACTCAGAGTTGGCGGCTTAGCGGTGGTAACCGCTAGTTGTGCAATGCGCAACGGGAAGTGAGCGTGCCTACAGCTCCGATACCTATCTGGAAAATAAGAAGGGTACTGTACGTGCACCCGGGGCGGCTCACCCGAGGCACCAGCGTCTCGAAGAACCGGATGAAGTCAAGTGACAACCCTGTACACTGGCTGATTTGAGGTCAGAACCTGAACTTATAAGGTTCCTGTGCGCGCACAGGTTATAGTGCCCTTCTCATATGCCCTCAGGGTAGGTAGGGAGGGTCACTATAATCAAAACTAACGTAGAAAGATATGGAGCTTGTAGTATAACTTATTATACGAATACGTATTGATGGGTATAATCGCCGTCCCAAATATCGTAAAATAAAAAAACGTCAGCCTGCATATTTCGAAACATTACTGAATAGAAAAACGACTACCACCATACATTGAAGCCATCCATCATATTCAATCCAAAATAAAACACTTCTTCTAAACTATTGTGATTAACACACATGGTACCATTTGCGCCCCACTTGAAATATTATACTAACAATTTTAGTCGCACTACAGGGGTAATATATATTTTCTATTGTGAACTGACTAGATAATACATGGGTTTATCGCTACTGCTTTTAATTGTATTGCCAAAGAATGGGGATCGTGTTACCGATTAGCATTAAAATGGACTGGGCCTTTTTTGAAGGTAAATTAATTATGATTTAATATTGGCTCTAAGTAAAACGGGTACCACAAGCCAAAGCATTTATTATAAAGTGAATTTAAATTTAATTAAATTAGGGATGGTCTGTAATGGAATATAGTATCCTAATATGATATTAATCTTATGTTAAACCTTCTACTAATTAAAAATGTTATTTACGAAGTATCATTCTAAGTTTAAAATTTTAAGCTGCTAGGCATTGGCATACTAAAATTAGAATCTAATATCTAGGTAATAGGCTAGAAACATGGTTGCAGATTTTAAATATCGACAAATTAAAAAGGAAAAATATTTTGATTATAGTGCTACATATACAAGTTGGACTAAATAGATTACGCTCTACTAATCCATTATGACATTGAGTAGAGTTCGTTTGTCGTCGTGTGTGATGCACGTGCTTTGTGTCTTGCGCACGCGTCACTCCGGATGTCATTCTATACTCGATGTAACCTAGATATCGTAAAGGCGGAAAGAACAATCGTTTATTTTTAAAGTGAAATTCGCGTAAATAAGGTAGGTTTATTTTCTGCATTTTATTTTGTCCATGGTGATCTATAACTAGGTACCTATGTATATCTTTTTTAAATTGGATATTGTAGCTTCCATAACTCTTATATTAAAGTAATGTAAGTAAGTGCCAATATTTTCACGTGCTTAGTATTCAAAACATTTATATAAACAATTCGTGTCATTCATTCGTTTACATTTAGTTTTTAACTCTGAGTAACGAAAAAAAAAGATACCGTCTAAGACCAATACTCTATTTCAAAAATGTAAATGAATAAATAAGTGACATTTTTATTTATTCATGTACATTTGTCTGTTCTTGATAAACAAGTTAAGTGAACAAATCGCGCCATGTGTCGCGTAGTGGGTCGCATGGCGCGTGGCGGCCGCGTGGCCATGTCGCGCATTACCGAATTAGTATCCAGTATGCACCTAGCCTTAAGTCGTATTAGTTGTGGGCGGGTCAAGTTACTAATGCCAAGTCATTTCGGCGAAAATTATGAAGATTGCTTTTTATTTAGACGTTGCACCATTACAATAACTTTGACTGCATAAAACATTTTTATAGAGTGAGTTTTTTATCTATCGCCGTGAAATTTTCTAAGTAAACAACATTATAAATTGGTTGCAGATGCTTAAAAAACCGTACACAATTGAATATATATCCACATTCTACAAGTGTCAGTAAAATCAACATCGAAACATCAAACAGAGAATTAACTACTCTCTCGCAAATAAAACAAAACGTAATACGCGTAAGAAAGTCCTTCTGTGGGTGGTGGGAGCAAGCAAAAGTAGGGGGAAGGGGGTGGTCGACAATAGGTGTACAGATAACTTTCCTTCCATAGTAGAGTCAATACCGACCCTAGGGAGTTTTACCCTCGGGGCCCGGTCGCTTGGGAAAACTAGACCCAACAATATAGAAAAGGACGGACTTATCGGCCTTCTGCAAGTGTAAAGAGGGCTACCGAGTGTACCTATGTATTAATAATATATAGAGGAAAAATGCCGAGGACGTGCAGGAAGTGATATGTTGCGACTGTTAGCAAGAGAGGGATGGATGACATCAATTTGTCGTGTCGTGATGGGGTTTATTTTGTTTTCTACGCTTGCGATTTTTTTAGAGTGCCCATTTTTAGTTTTTTAAGAAATCTTCCAGCTTTTAGGCTGCCAGGCCGCCCGTTTTTGAATTGTCAATGTCAACATTTCTGTTATATATGTATTATATTGTAAGGATATTCAAAAAATCACTTTGTAACCACCAGAAAAGAAGAATTTTATTGCCTTAATTTGAAGAATTACGCAATGACTCTATTATATTCCTCATGAGTTATTTATTTTAGAACTCGCGTAAGGAATAAAATACTTTTTTTATTTAATGTCAATGTATGGTCAAGGAAAACATAGTATGAACACTACATTCAGAAATCTAAATGTGTTTGAAGATATTCTTGAAAACTTTACGATATAGTGAATGCCCCAACGACATCGGGCGGATCTAGCGAACTATGACCCAATAATATCTCCACCTCTAGGAGATACGTGCAATTTTATTTGGTTCTCTACTTAAGAGGATGGTCCTAAAAAGCCGCGCGGCAGCATTCGGCATTTCGTTGTTTGATATTTTTATTCAAAGAATACAGGGATGTGTCGCTATATCTTTTAATGTTATTGTTTGTCAAAGGACCTTTAAAAATGTTTTATT